ACACACACACACACACACACACACACACACACACACACACACACACAATCAGAGTCAAGTGTTAGCCAAGGATACGCTCTTAATCCACTTCGTTGGCTTTTTAGGTTACACACAGTCGATTTTGACACACGTCAACCACCTTCTTATGTAATGAACTCAGTCTTATCTCGACAACAAGCACTTTTGCTACTACAACACAAAACCAAAGACAACAGAGGAGGAGCTTCTTCTCCCACACTTCCTAAAAGTCCTCATGTTTCTCAGTTGGGGGTAATGACTTGCCCAGACAATCAGGTGTTTGAAATAATTACAAACTGAAGTCCCTGAACCTTGTACTGATGTCTGTTAGACGTCCATCACAGCTGTCCCAAATTATGAAAATTCAGTTTAATCCTTTGACAGATTTAACTTTACTTGATTAGTTTAAATGTTAATGAAAATAATTGGTTTCAGTCCTTTTTGAACATAACTCTGATGTGTCTGATATTCAAACGGATCTTTCAGAATAGGACTACTGGATCTGAATAGTCTCATACCAGCACTTGCTTTGTAAACTTCAAAGAATGTGGCAAAAAAAGATGGCATTACCAGAGATGGCAAACCTTACCGAGGTTTCTCAGGGCCTCTAGAATAGAGGAGAAGTGTTTGTAGCGAAGCAGGTAGTCCAGGGCGGACGACGTCTTGTTGCACAGTTTGTCCTCCTCTCCGACGCCGGCATAGACTTTGCGAAAGCGGTGTCTTAATTTGACCAACCTGGCATCGTCATTCTGTCGGCGGGAGCGGTGTCCTCTCCACAAAGCCTGGAGAGAGCAGAAGGGAAATAGAGGAGAAAAAGAAGACGACATTAAAGGGAATCTAAAATGAGTTGCTAATCATTGGTGCATTGGATCAGATGATGTTCACAATTCTATGCCAAAGGGAGGAAACTGAGGATTGAAATGGTACATAATTCACCTTGGAACTACAATTCATTCAAACTAAAGATTTTGATGTTACACCATCCTCTCAAGTTTCCCTACAGAGTTCCTGCCAAAAACAGGATATTAGGTACTAAATGAACTAAATTTGGAAGATAATTCCACACACAGAAAGAGGATTTTGAATTTAGCGGCGGTGGAATGTAACCAAGTCTTTTATCAATTCCATTGAAGAACATTAATAAGGAGTATGATGAAGAGGAATTATGACGACAGCACACAAAACCTGTTTCAATGTTCATATTGACACCTGACTATTGTTGTAAGACACTTGAAAAAGTGTGAACCTATCCTTTAAGAGCACAGAAGTCATTTGTGCCTAAATGTACCACTGACTGTCGTACCTGAGCTTTGAGGATGCCTTGTTGAACCGTCTCCTGGCGTCTCCGAAGGAGGAGCTTGCGGACGGCCTGCTGGATGACTGAGGCCGCCTTGTGGCGACGACCTAACCAGCACTTCACCGCTCTCTGGGCTATATGCACCTTCCTCCTGTCCTCCAGACACCGTCGCCTCTGCTGCCTCGATCTTACCCATCGCTGGGGGAAAGTCAGGCAATCGTTGAAAGAAATGTTGTGCTTTTCAGCGATTCAATAAAGCCATCAGAAGCACTTTTCAGCAACAGATTTGGTTTGAAAAACGGCGTTGTGCGCTCCATGTCCCTGTACGGCGATGACAGAATGGATTTGTCTTTTGGCCGACTCCAAAGCCCAGTGGGCGCTCAGAGCTCGTTGGACCTTTGTGGCCCTTAGATGGTGGAAGACCGCAGATGTAAAACGGACCTTATGTTTACCCTTTTCCAGCCAGTTCACTACAAAATCACATTTAAATATGGTCAGCTTCGTTCCCCTTTCCCTATAATTTCAGTATATTCATTTTGAATTAATCTATCCGTATAAAATTACCACTTGTTTAAAAAAATTAATTAGTAAGCCGTTATCAAGTCTAAACAAGGTTTGTGAATGCAAACTAAAGGCTGTCTGGATGTCAGGAAAAAAAAAAGGTTCTAGCAAAGTATGAACTTTAAATAAGACCCCATTACCTGTCGTCTTGCAATCCAGGCTCGGCAGTGTTTCTGAAGTGTTATGGCAGCTTTCCTCATCCGGGTATAGTTGTTCCTCTCCAACGTGCCAAGCTGCACAGCCCGGACTCTCCGCTGAAGTTTCATAGCTGCCTCACGCGTCCTTTGGAAGATGCGTCTTTGCACTGAGCATCTCCAAGACGACTGGATCACAATTGCAGCTTGATTTTGTCGGCGTATGTCCCTCCTGACACACCAGCCTCTAAACAATGCCTGAAGAGCGATGGTGGATTGCTTCATTTTCAGGAACTTTTCCCTTTCCTGCCTCTGAAGAATACAGCCGCGATAGCATCTCTGGGCGATGATGGCGGACAGACGCATGGCCTGGCATTTGACTTCCTCTCTGTGCTTTCTGAAGGCAGACTGGATCACAGTGGCAGCCTGATGCCAGCGAGCAACCTGCTTTCTGACCTGCTGACCTCTGTATGCTGCCTGGAAGACAACAGCAGCACTGCGCATTGTTTGGTATTTTTGCATTTGTACCTTTGCTGCTGCAGTCGCCCGATACGTCCTCTGAATGGTGAGGACAGAGGATTTTAAGGTCAGATACTGCTGGTGTTCACAGTGTGCGCTGTAAGCTCTCTGGATAACGCTGGCAGCCTGATGTCTTTGTTTGAAGAGTCGTCTGGATTTCATTCCTCGGAAGGCAGCTTGTAAGATAGCAGCAGCATTTCTCTTAGCACTCAGGGCTCGCGTCTCCTCTCATTTTCTTGATGGCTCTGTAACGTGTTTGCAACACATTGCCAGTCCAGTGGAGAGTCTTGTTGGTTCTCTGCTGGTGCGTTCGGAAGTCAGACTGAATTGTTACAGCTGCCGCATACGCAACTGCTTTCTGGCCTCGCATCCTCTGTAGGCTGCCTGCAGACAAATGACAGTGTATTAAATGAAACTCATTTTTAGGTTTGTGCACCGAATATACCTTTTCAATAATTCAAAGATAGCACTTTGCTCGATGACTATGAAATGATAAATGAGATAAATATTACACTGCATGCGTTTCATTTATCTACAGTTAACGTTTCATATAAATACTGTATGTATGTAGCTATTGTCACAAACAGCATTGAGAGCACTCATTTCAAAAATAAAGTCCACGTGCAACAACAATATTGCAACCATGACTTATCCCCTCCACCTGAACAGATCATTTAACAGCATGTCAATAGATTCTTTCGGCATTTAAAAAAAGAAAGAACTAATTTTGTTCTCTACTGGCCGGCTGGAAACAAAGTATGGTACACACATGAAACGCAAAGATGATCTTCCACAAGAGGCTCAGCGTCTCCTCTCTGTGTCCGTCCACAATGTCTCTGGAATCAATGTTGGAGCCTGAAAATAAAGAGACCATACTTAAAGTCGGGATTAAGTAAGATCTAAAAAAAATGAAAACAAGAGGTGGATTCACACCTCTACTGTGTAACTTAGGAGGGACACCTCATCAGAGCAGCTAGTAACGATGGCTAATATAGATGTACAATTTGCTGAAACTAATGTTAACCTGAGAGCTTGAAGTTGCGACGGAAGATTACAAGAATGTTGGCAGTAATGACCGACATATTCTTGAATTCGGGTACATAATACCTAAAAATATTTATTGTCACGGTTATTGTCTACTGGCGGTCACCATCAAGAGAGCGAGAGCGACTGATTAAGAAACACTCAGACAGTTATGCTCTCACTCTAGCTCTTAATGAGCCGTGCAATACACACCCATTATAAAATCTGAAACAGACCCAAAATTTTCCTGAAACTTAATCTGTGACTTCATGAAAACTGTGCTAGCTATCAAAATGTCCCTTTGGCTCAACAAAGTGCAGCGTTTTGTCTACGTTTTAAACTTTGAATCGTGTTTCTACGTTAATGTATGGCTCGTCAATATGGGCCCAAAGTTAAGTGTTTTTTTAGCTCTCTTCACGCCGAAACCCCATTCAAGTGAATGGAGGAATTTTGCTCAGTTTTTTGGGATTTTCGGGGAAACCGCTGTGCGAATCTCTCCGAAAAATAGATAGCACACTATTCCCGATCGGGCCGCACGTTTTGATGTATTTTTCACGCCGCTGTTGGCAACGCTGTGTGAGGAGAAGCGCGCCAAACTTTTAGGCGGAAGATGGAGAATAAGAATATTAAGCCCACAGGATTACAGTCAGTGTGCTTTGTGGCACAAAGCACACTGACTAATTGACAGATTAATAATTAAATAATTGTTAGCTGCAGCTGTATATGAATGTTCGTGTTCGTTCTTTAATAATTGTATAAGCTGCTGTCGCTGAAACAAGTCTGTGATTTAAAAAGCCTATTCAAAGCATTAGGTATGGTCTCTTTGAGATTTAGTTGATTAAGCAGGCAAAGTTATTGCGTTTACTTTTCTAACTCCCTTTATGTCTCTTATCCTGGACCGCTTCGTCACTCAGACACATGTTCACTTCATGCGGAGGTGCACAAACAGAAAGAACCATATTGTCACATGAAGGGCAAAGCAATCCAATGATGTTGCTGTGCAGCTGTACAACAGATGTTTGTGAGCAAACACAATAGGTGTGCTGCGGAAAACACAGCCCAACATGAAACACGCACATGCCCACGAAGAACAACACTTCTGTGAAGAAAAAACACAGAATCTCATTTTGTGGAGGACAAACGTTCTTTCAGGTTGAGCGTGTTCCCGCTATGCAGTTTGCTCAGAAAAAAACAAAAAAAGACAAAAGATCCACAACTACCGTGTTCATCCTTGAGGTCGACCCCTTTGCTTTTGAGCACTTGCAAAGCCATGCCGACGGTGTGGACCTTCTGCAGGCGGCTGATGGCTGGCAGACGGAGCTTGGCTGACAAACTCCAGTCCTGGATCAGGATCTCCATCACACGCCTGAAAGCAAACCCCACGTGGAAGACTTTACATTGATGCTGCAGAAGAATATTTGTTCGCCATTCTTTTTGACATCTTCGGTGTTACGTGGTCGTTGCTTAAATCTGCTTTGCAGGAAGGAAACGCATTCAACATGTTTGTTAGACATCAAGATAAACACAATGTTGTTTTGGAGACTAGCCCTGAATGTAAAAAATGTACAAGAAAATAAGAGAAGACAACTTTAAGGTATCCCACAACCTGATGTCAAACAAAGATATATATCAAGGATGAAAGATTCCTGCCAAAGATCTCCTACAAAGGGTTCATGTACTTCCCTCAGCTTTGTTGCTTACAGCTAATAATTCCTGAGCACCACAGAAAAGGTCAAATAATACCGAGTCTGATTACTGGAGAAGAGATTTACTCTACAATACTGCTGGGGGTTTGCTTTTAGACTCAACCTGCATCTCTGTGCATTAAAAGGAGGGAAATACGTTACACACACACACACACACACGATTGAACCATGATCTGAGTGAGGACATCTCCAGCCTGAGACAGCTCTGCTGAACACTGAATCCCTCCTAGCTGCAGGGATAGTCCCGAGTGTCTGAGCCTGAATATCCCAGCGGGGATCAGAGCATCGCATTAGAATTCGTGGCGTGTCACTCACACTAGACGAACGCCGCATTTCAAATCAACTGCCAAATCCGTCACAGCGAAGTTGAACTCGTCCAGGGGCTTCTGAGCGTGGGAGACGGGTAACCCCAGGTAGCCGGGAGAGGATCCTTCCCCGCTCAGGAAGTCCCTGGCGAAGGCCAGGAGCAGGTCTTTACTCGTCTGTTGAGAACAGAAAAACTAATTTATGCACGGCTGTCAGGTCTGTGCTGCCTTTATGCATTTACAAATACATGCCAGTGCACCGTCTCCCTCTCAGATACGAAGGTAGATAGGCTGTGTACACATTGATTATGTGGTCTCATTTGAAACCTGCAGCCCTCGGCCCTAAAGGAATTCATAAATTACTCCGCACTGTCGTCATGGAATTAATCCAGATAGATCTTCGACATAAACTAAAATCATGAATAAGTGTGGTTTTTTTAATGTATTTAATGCTAGTTGTTGACATGGGAGGGCTTTGGCCTACCTTGAACTCTGCATCCAAGCAGAACAGACAGAGGTCGTGCTCAATCAGCCGGGACTCTTTGTCCAGGAAACACATGAGCAGCAGCAGCTTCTTCAGAGTAAAGCGAGACAGCGCCTCCTCGTGGCCTAACCGAGAAAAGGTCCAGAGATATTACCACCAGTCCAAAGTAACAGTTACCTTAGTCAAGTCTGCAAAGGTACACAACATTGACACCTTCTAGAACAACTACATGAAACACATTTGTTTTTATACTACATAGGAAATACTAATAGTTTTTAATTAATCCCCTTATTTTTACCAGAAATTTCTTGGATAACTCTAATCAAATTCACAGCGTAACTAATTATCTTTTTGGGAAGTCAAAAACTTAAGTTGTAAGTTGGGACAAATGATCCAGTGTCCCAACAGTGTCCTTTCATTTTCTAGTTTTCCCTTTGAGAAAATATAAAATTCCAGTATAGCTGCAAAGATTAGTTGATTGAAAGAAAATTGATTGGCAACTATTTTGATATTAGTTTGTAATTTATTTTGCAAATAATCTAGTTCCAGCTTCTTAAAAGTGCGGGTTAGCCGTTTTATAAAACTGCAGATTGAATATCGGAGTTTGATCTGACAAATCAATACATTTCTCACACTTCACATGACGGGAAAGAGAAGAAAAGAAAGAGCTATCAATCTGTCAATCCTTTCCGTGTCCGGGCCGGGTGAGGTTTCCCGTGTTGAGTCAAATTAAGCCGCAGGCTCCACTCCTGGTGGTGCCCTTCCGTCAATTCTCATACTTAATGACCAAATAAATCACCAGATGTTTCAATGTAGCAGGCATTTCTAGAGCCTGCAGCATAAGTTAATAAAAGCATTGCCATTAAACTACATGCTCTCATTTGGAGAGATCTGCTAAAAATGTAATCTCAGGAAATTAAAAATGTTTTGTTTGCATCAGTGAAAGAAGTTGTTGAATTAAAGTTCAACTTCTGCCCAAGTTGTACATTTTCAATTTGCTTCATAATGATTTGTATTTCTGTCTGCTTACGATGTGGCCAATAGGTTTAAGCTGAGCCAATAACCCACTCAATATTGCTTGAAATTTCTTCCAGTTCCGAGAGTCACACGTCACAGTTCAGACAACACAATGACCGATGCGCTTCAATTACCGTCTTTGTAAAGGTGAGGCACTTTGGCGTGTCGGAACTGAGCAGCGATGTCTGGGTTCCACAGCAGCCGCTGCTGGATGAACATGTGAAACTGTGACGGACATTTTACATTTGATGATTCTTTATGGACTGTAATGTTGGTCCATAAAGAATAGAGATACTGAAGACGCAGGTCAAACAACAGCATGAGATATTTTAACTTCAGTAACAGAAATAACCAAAGAGCTCTGAACTATGGAAGACTTTATTGTGCCGTACTAATCAAATAAAAACTGAATGAATTGTGCTGACAGAAGCATCAGAGTGAAGCTAGACGGGCCCAATAGTAACATCACCACAGAGAGGTCTCCCCTCTCCCCAGACAATGGAGATATTCTCATCTTTTTGAAAATAATGTCACAGTAATGTAAACTTTATTGTGTATTTGAATGACATCACCTGACAGGAAGTAAACATAGACCCAAGTTGTTGCCGAGCAGTTCAGTTCAGTGGAAGCTAGCTCACTGGCTGTTTCTCTCTTTCAGTATTGATCAAAGGACGAGGGCATCAACATACCTCATGTTGCACTTAAACTTAACAGAATTGAATATTCTTGAATGTTTTATTTTTATTTATTTAATTTTGTTTCAAATTGGACATCTTCAATATTTTAGTTTCCATGTAAGACTATAGCCCAAAGTTCTTTTCTTTAAGTGTTCTTGAAGTTCTTTAATTAATAAAAAGTTATATTTGACTCCTCCCCTTTACTTTGTTGATCCGAAGAATGACCCGAACCGTGACTCAAGAACCGTGAGGTTTGTGATCCGTTGCACCCCTAATTCTGGCACATTAGCGTAATCAGTTCCGAGTAAAATGGACCATAAAGCAGGGTGCGCTTTAGGGCGGGGCTACCTTGTGATTGACAGACAGCTACCACGGTGTTGTCCAGACCGTCTTGGATCTTTAACCCTTTCACCGTCTGTTTTCACTTCATGAAAATGAATTGTAACATTTTGTTTGACTAAAAATGTCTTAATCAGCGTTCAGCTGTACTAGCGCCCCCCTCTCGTGTCACTTCTGATTCCATAGAACAAGATAGTGACAGACACAATGCTGAACTCAATGCTGTGGCTCAGTGGTAGAGCAGGGTCATCCTTCAATCAGAGGATCGACAGTTCGATCCCCGGCTCCTTTAGTCCATGTCAATGTGTCCATGGGCAAGACACTTAACCCCAAATTGCTCCTACTGTACTGTGTGTATGAATGTTAGAGTCCTGATGGGCAGGTGGCACCTTGCATGGTAGCCGCTGTCATCAGTGTGTGAATGGGTGAATGTAGTGTTAAAGAGCTTTGAGTGGACAGAAGACTAGAAAAGAGAAACAAGTACAGTCCATTTAGCATTTGTGTCCAAACCATTGGATGATGTCACGGTGACTCCGTTGTAGCACCATGTGACAAGTGGAGGAGGCGAGATTTATGTAGGCTGTGTTTTAAAAGCTTACTATGCAGGAATTGTTGCTAACCGTTTGTTAACACAACATTCAGAGTTTACCGCTCCTGCCCCCGGCTCAACTACACCTGAGGTTGCCCGGCGGCTGCACACCCATTGTACATGCATAGCAAAATGAGCAAATCCAGGCAGAGGGTTAGGGTCTCTAAAGATAAACACCACCACACTGCTCTAGTGGGTCAGAGGAGATGATTGAGAGGGATTACTTAATACATAGTTTATTTTAGTGAATTGCTTCGGTCACAAACCGGGCCCAACGGCCATGACAAAAAAGGGAGACGCAGTTGATTAATTATTTATTAAGTTTAAAGTAATGAAAAAGACAAACATAAACTAACAGTGACATGTGAGGTCAGTCATTTCAGCAGTGTAAGTGAGTGGGTGCGTGTAAAGTGTGTCTGCAGTGTTGTATAGTGTAAAAACAAACAACCGCAAGCAAAACCTAAGTGGGTGTCTCAGGAAGGAGCGAGAGACAACTGAGGACCCAGAGGGTTTTTATAAAGGGTGCACTGGCACACAGGGCCAGTGTTGTGAATTGCCTCAGGTGTCCCCACTCTGCCTGACGATCCTCTGCCACACCTGCAAGGAAAGCAGCCACACAGGCAGACAGGGTCGTCACACGTCATAGTATGAAAGTCAGGCTGGTTGTAAGCTGTGTGTGTGGCCCCTGTATAGTCATTGGTATACTTCTATTACAGTGTGCATTAATAGGTGTTTTTGTTTGGTACTGCTTTCGTGATTTAGATTAGTTTACATATCAAAGGGTCTAACAGCTGTTTGTTTTTGGGGACTTGACCTATACTTGAGATTAAACATGTTTTATTTCTTCTTTCATTCCTTTTAGGGTTTAAAAACGTAAAGAGTTGACCAGCGGTCTGGCTCCACCACCATCAAAGAAACACAAAAAGTAAGATGCCCTTGACTGGTTTATTTTGAAGCCTTTACTGAACACCTGCTTATAAGGGACCCCGTCAATGTCTCCACGTTGTATTTCCTTTGTGTTTTATTTTTATTTTTATTTTTTACTGTAGTTGTTTGCTCTAGAACTCCTCCTCTTGCCCAAAGATCCACTAGTGTCCTCCGTAGCAAGGTGCCGCAGAATACCAGGACAGCGCCCATGACCTCTTCCGCTGCTGCAAACAGAGTGAGTTTCTGTCGTGTGGTTGTATGCTGAAGGACTGGGACGTCTGCTCTGGGCTCTAGCCTCCTCCAGTGTGCTAGGTTCATATAACATTCACATCAGACAGCCAAAGTGTTTCCAGCTGTCTAAGTGATTTGAACAGGACTGATGTTAAAGCTGTATTGTTGCTGATAATTATGTCCAAACAGGCCAAACTGCTCTGAAGAACAGGAGCTGGAGCGCATCAGAAACCTCCAGAAGGAAGTGGCGCTGCATCGCAGGCAGAACGAGGCCAGCTACAAGGCTGCTCTGGCTGGCAGTGAGTAGTTCTGACTGACTCTGTGTGGCTGCAAACATTAGCGACTGTCCTTGCTACGACCTTTTTTATGTGCCGGCTAACGAGCTGTTTAGTACCATTTAAAGGATCTGGAAGTCGTTCTCCAGGTTGTTGGGAACATAAAGGAGCGTGTTTGGTTATCAGCAAATATGAAACTAAACTATCGACGTCAATGGAGTTATTAACATCAATCAGTTAATTAGTAATTACTAATAAGAACGGGGCACCACCCTGCGGACAGGGACCAATAACCAAACTATAAACTAAGTCTCATAATTAGTGTTCACTCACGATATTAACAGTCTGAATACTATTACATGTTTGGAGTGAGAGTGAAGGTTTAAGTTCGAGCACAGGCCACTACATCCAGTTATTATTACACACATATGCACAAGTAATCACAGACGACTGCTCTTTAAAATATAACAGTTTATTAAATCCAAATAATAAATGATCAAATCAGATAATATCAAAATCAATAAACACTATCATACAATTGTGTCTAATACCTAAAGTCAAATGAATAAAGTGGGGTAAGGATATGTATATAGATATATGTATATGTGATGTGTGTGTGTGGAAACGAAAGGGGGGGGGGGCTTACTCAAACAGTGATGGTGGGTAATCTAAAAAGGGGGCGTGTGAGCCTACAAGCCAAGATGGCGGAGTCTAGAGACCTACGGCCAAAATGGCTGAGAGGGGGCCACATGTAACCACGTGGGACGGCGCACCATGTGGGTTGGGACAATAGACTATGCGACCACGTGACTGAGAGGTTCGCCAAAAATCTAAAATTTAACTGTGTGTGTGTGTGTGTGTGTGTGTGTGTGTGTGTGTGTGTGTGTGTGTGTGTGTGGGGAGAGGATGAGAGAGAGAGAAAATCGAGCTCTGGCGGTGCTCTGCGCCGTAGTGAGGAAGTGAGAAACGGCACGCTTTTACGGTGATAGTTGCAATTCTAGATCTCACTCACAGAGCCGATTTAAAGAGGAGAGAATAAAACCAAAATAAAAGAATCCCCAAAACAAAACAGATCTTTATCACTGCGTTGAGACGCGACTGTTGCTCCCTTATCACCCCGAAACTCGGTCGGCGAGACGAGGGTCCGCCACCGTGGTTTTAGTCTTTAAAGTGATAAGATCACAAGCTCCACGTCCACTAGCAGCGACGGATCTAATGCAAACAGTTAAAGCAGGAAGTATACAATATAACGGGACTCCGTGGTCCGCGATGTTTGTGCAATAACACGTTATAACACGACAGTAACTTAACGTAACAAGATACAGGAATAACAACGACAAACTAATAGTCTAAATTAAACTAATGCTAAGTTAAGCCCAGATACCAATGATACTCTTACTTTGAGAAGCTTCGTTCAGTGGGGTCTGTTTCCAGTGGTAGGAATCACTCTGTCCTCGAGGAGTTGCTGACTCGCGGTGGCAGAGGAAGAATGGCGTTCCGAGCCTGCTTATAAACCCGGTCTCGAACCCAGTGGGGGGCCCTTTCTTGGCCAATGAGGGACCAGGATCAAGTTTTGGCTGGAGCTGGGGGTGTGGTCATCCGGCTTGAAGTTTTGTCAGACCCCAGGTCAGGCGTTTTGGTGAAAGGAAGGGACGTGGGCGTTTCTTTGGTTGAAAGCACATGTGAGGGACTCAGCTAGCCAGGAGAGCAGGTTCAGATCCCAACAAGGTTTACTTCTTGGAAGTAAATCTGCATCACTTATTTCAGATCCACCACCAAAGAAGTTGGTCCAGACATCGACTGTGCCCAAAGAGTTCCACTTCAACACCAACACTCGTGTCAAGGTGACCGCCTCATCCAACGCAGCCCACAAGGAAGTGGACTTCATCAATCAGCTCCGCAAAGCCTCCTCCCCAGTCAGTACTTCTCATATGCTCACACCTTTTTAGAATTCTAGTGTAACCTGGGGGGCCAAACTGTCAAACAGACCACGAATGGTTCACTTTCAACATGGTTCAGTGTGCACACAATGGGCTGCTGGAGTAAAGTCAGATTTAATTTAGTTTTGTTTCAACAAAAACAAAATTCCTTCATCACTAGATGGAAACCTATAAAAAAAGCTGATCAAGAGAAATGAATATACACTCCTTGATGATGTTGCATGGCCCGAAATGTCCTCCAGCTCAGTTACAACATGAATCCGCAGTTTATTCGTAATTCTCAACAGTGAGCTGAGAGGAAAGTTAACTAGACATCCAAATGTACATGTGCACATTAAACCTGCACCCAATTTCTACCGTTGCTCTCTCCTTTTATTATTTTTAGACAAAGGCTATGAGAGGCGCCACTGTGCCAAAACCCTTCAACCTGTCGACCAGCAACAAGAGAGCGGTGGAGGAGTCGGCTGCCTACGTGCCCATGGCTGAGCAGATAGAGCAGTTCCAGAGACGAACTCCTGACCGCTACCATCTGCGAAGTCGCAGCAGTCAAGAGAGAGGTGTGCAGGACAGTCTGGGCTAGATGTGGAGTTTTCTTCTGGGTTAAGTTTAACTTAAATTACTTTGGTTATAACTGTTTCCTAGGGCCAGCAGCGGTGAAGTGTGATAAGCTGAAGCTCACCCAGCCTCACAGCCCTCACCTGATGACCCGCCAGAGGAGCCGGCCAACCAACGTGAAGAGCAGTGCTGACCTGGAAGCTGAAGAGTTGGCCAGACACCACAAGTAAGAAGCTCTACTGAAGCCGTCCTCACGCAGCACCAGGTCTGACTTAAGCTGACAGTCGGAGAACGGCCAGAGGTGGATGCCTCGTAAAGCCGTGTTAAAATAACAAGCAGTGTGATCATTATTGATACTGACTTTTCAACACCCACCTCTCACCTTCATGGTAGCCCCAAAGTGGGCTGCCCAACGGCCCTTTTCTTTACTTGGTTGTAAGCCAGCATGTTCCGTTAAACATCTGGTTAAATACTTACAGCTGTTCTACCTTATGTTAGAACACTTAATCTTTGAAATAAGTCTTTTTCTGTTGAGTAGGCAAGATTAGATCAGTAATATTTTCATGGATTTTACCATCAGAGCTCCAAGACACTGGAAACGTCTGGCTGACTTTTGAAAGAAGCTTGTGACTCTGGATTGTTCAGCGTTTACTCTCTAGCCTGCAGTGCCTTCCTGTCAGTTGAATATTGAATTTCCATTAAATATTGTTTACTCAGGCTTAAGTTCAAAGCCTTGGAGCTGAACAGGAGAATTCTGGAGAGCGTCCAGCACCTAAAGAGGCCGGCAGTGAAGGAACCCACTGTACCCGAAGGCTTTGAGCTGCAGATTGAGAGACAGGCCACCAAGAAGCCTCAGGGAGGGGAGGAGAAGGCGCACACCTTTAAAGCCCAGCCACTGCCCAAAAATATCCTGGAAGGTGTCGTGGTGAGTTTAAATCCTGCGAGGCTTTTAAGTGGATTGATTTCTATACCATGAATGTAGTAAAAAGGGTTTCCTCTCGTCAACAGGGATTGCCGGAGAAGAAAGTTCTGCCTCCTACTGTGCCAGAGTCTCCAACATTTGCCCTGAAGAAGAGGGTTCGCATGGAGAAGGTCGAGGATATAAGGGCTCATCTGGTTGTTTTAATACTTAAAGGATAATGACTTTTCTTCAACTTAAGGTAACATTACCCTATTTTTCTTTTGTTTCTTGCTCAGGTCAAACCGCCTTCACCCATCAAAGCCCTCACAGTGCCTCATTTCGGCATCCCCTTCCAGCCCCAGCTACAAGACAACCACCATGTGGAAGTCTGTCCCTTCTCCTTTGAGGAGCGGGACCGAGAGAGGAGGGCGTTGAAAGAGAAGAAGCTGCAGGAAATGCGAAATGGAGAGGTGGAGATCCACAAACGCAACCCTTGTCCTTTAGACCGCCAGAGTAAAGAAACAACCACTAAATCACTCCTCTAATGCTTCCTCTGAACTGTTCCAGGTACCGCAGTTCAAGGCCCAGCTACTGCCGGACTTCGACACTGTGCTCCTCCCCGAGAAGAAGAAGCTGGAGCCCACGAAGCCTGAGCCCTTCAGACTGCTGCTGGATGAGCGGGGACCCGTGAGGGGCACTCGCTGGGAGCAGATGGTATGACACAATCTGACGGTTTAAAGTCAATAACCAACGGTACCTTGAAATTGAGTGCTGTTTCTGTAGGTGAAAGAAGAGCGTAAACGAGAGGAAGTAGTATTCAAAGCCAGGCCCAACACGGTCACTCACAAAGAGCCTTTCCAGCCCAAAAAGGAGGCCCGGGCTTCAGTGGGTAAGTCTATTAACATCCCACTCTGACGGCCCGCCCGCGGGCCGTCAGAGTGTTAACGGCATATTTGTGTTATGCACACAACTGCCCTGTAACGATGAGTATTAATGTGATATCTCATTAGAAAGTTACGGTTCTTGTAATTCGATTTATGCAAACCATTTCAAGATACAATAACAACAGCAGGTACAGTTAACTCTCTGTCAAACAAGCACTCCAAAAATAGCCGATAAAATATCGCCGTGACTCACTGATTATGATTCATAACGTCCCCCTCGTGCATGCTAGTCCAGCAAAAACGGTCTTGCTAGGTGGCTAAGGGTCCACTCGATCGAATCCAGTAAAAGATTTAGTCCAAAACACATTAGTACGTCCATAAAGACCCACGGGGGGCTGTTGCATCATTTCAAATTAGCCAGCAGATATGATAACTCGCGATCATATTTCGGGCATAATTTCACTTTTCATGTCAACAGAGCGGAGATTTTCATCGCAAAATGGAGCCTGCGTTCCGCCGGTTAGATTGACACCTCATTTGACCCAATAGGAGCTTCTATAGCCCGCCCACAGTCTGGAACAGCCAACGAGAGTCCGCTTTGAAAGACAATGCCCGCCTCTCTTCTTTGAGTATAGCTCGAGCCAATCGCAACAGATCCTGTTCAAACTCAGGCTCCACATAGCCAATGAAATTACGAAGCCAAGGATATGCAGATTTATCAGATGGCCCTCTGGGAAAGTTTTCAAAACTGAAATTGAAACCATGACTGAGGTAACTGGGACAGATTATCAAGACCAAAGTCTGGTTCATCAGAATTTTCAAGAATCTGTGAAAGTTGACAATGGTTAAATATGATATAGTTAGCCATACACTGACATAAATAAACTATAGTTCAAATTTTGGACATGTAGTTTATCGTAGTATATGGGCCGCACTCTTAGTAAACCACGTGTAAAATGTTAATTTTCTGTGGTATTGTTATCAAATTATAACTTATACCAGGTATCATGACTCCATGCTGACGTAGGATTGTGTTTTCCGGGTCATAAGTCCCAGCCATAGATAGCTGCTGCCATCTGTTGGCCAAAACAAATCCAGGCGGAAATAAAATCCTTCTTTCTGTGTGCTGAAAACGCATTAGCTCAATGCTAGTAGCACTTACAGTGATTCTGACTGTTTGTGAAGAAACTTCAGAGTGTTGCCGTTCAATAGAGACTAAAACCATACATGTACTCCCAATGGTTCAATAAGAGCTGTCAGTTTACTTTGGGTACGCGGTTGATAGGCGTTTTAGGCAAATTTTAGAGGAGTGAGAAGAGTTAACATGCAGAGCTGACCAACACCTGGTTTTACCTAGACCTGTGATATTGTGACGGTTTTAACATGGCCATCAACGTCTCAAAGCACTGAACACTGACACTATTCAAACCTCGTGAAGAGAAGCGCTCTCTGTGCTTCACTTCCATCTGTCGTGGCACTAAGGAATGGATTCTTCCACAGTTGTGGAGGCCTTTGAGCTGTCGACGGAGCGTCGGGCCGTGGAGTGGCAGGAATACGAGCGGCAGGCCAGTGAGAAGGAGGCCCTCAGGAGGCTCATGGAGGAGGAGCAGAGACGAGAGCAGGAGCAGAAGGAGAAGGAGGACGTCGCCAGGCTGCGGCAAGAACAGGTCATTGCCAAACTCAGTTTATTCCGTTACTGAGTAAGAGTCCTCAGATTGAAAGGGCTGCCTCCTCAGGAGACACTTAATGACTCTAAAGTAAACCAACTCTATTAAGAGGTGGAAGTCTTAGAGATTCCAACGTGATGTAACTGCATTTGTTTTCTTCACCTCACCAGGTCCACTCTGCTCAGCCCATCAGACACTACAAACCTGTAACCGTGAAGAAGAGTGAGCTTCCTCTCACAGTTCCCCACTCACCCAACTTCTCTGACCGCTTCCGCTTGTGATCGGCCTGCCTCACTCCACGCTGTAGAGATCGGCATATTCTAAGCCTTCAGATGTTTTCTCTTTCTGTAATTATTTTTACAAACTTTATTTTCTGTCTTTTTTAATCTTTTTTTTTAACTTCTTTTAAATAAAATATTACCAATTATGGACATTTTGTTTGAAGTTCTTGCAACTTTACGTTCCTATCTAATGCCAGTACAACACATTAAACTTCATCTTTAAACTTAGAAAACTCCAAATTGTGTGCTACTGTGTTTTATCATTTGTAAACTTTAAAACAGCTTATTGATTAGTGGTAACTGGTCGGAGTATGAAAGCATGCGTTACCTGCTCTAGGTTCGGTAATGGTTATTTTAGTTGATTGCAGATTAGTTTATTTTTAGTGTGCACCAGTAAAGCACAATTTTTGAAACCTGAAAATGTGAAAGTGCCTTCAAGCATCGCCAGCATCACGGCTGAAACGAAGCCCAGCTGTTGGATGTTGATAACCTGGATTCAAACGGATCCGCTGCAGTTTAAGAGATCAAGTTCCAAAGTGTTTATCGAGCTTTTAAACTAGTTTAATGTGCATCGTTGGTCACCTGGTTCCAGATGTCAACATGTGTTCAGGAGTGTTTGTTACCCGATACAACGCTAGCCATTCTGCACATCAACTGAGCAAACCTCCAAATGAATGCTCGTGTTGCACCGTAACAAGGTCCCCATATCAAAGTGATTTGTAAGTTTTGTGTTCACTACTTGTTCCTGCTGCTCCCAAGAAAAAAAAAAAGTGAATGCAGAATTTGAATAGCGCAAATATTAGACTTTGAAACCATCTATCTGGATGTCTGCAGCCTAAACTCTACGGTGGCCCTGAGAGCTCAACGCACTGCAAATCAAGGAAACATTACCACTTTGACAAATGCACAGCATTAAAAAAGAAAAAAGAAAAACTTTGTAAAAAGAACCAAATACAGAAATGGGCAAAAGGTTTTGACTGCTATACATTTACTGTCGGTGGAAAGTGGCATTTTTGTACGTTGTTCCACAACAACGAGAATAAAGGAGCTATATATCATTAAACAAACGTCTCTGTGATGTATCGAAGGCAACACACGTCACAGATAATCTAGCGTCCTACGAGCGCGTCAACCAGGTTACTCCAGAGGGAAGACACCTCAGGATACAGCCACAGGACTGGGCTTCTTGAACAACTGTCCCTTTACCTGGCCCTTTACCTGGCCCTTTACCTGTCCCTTTACCTGGCCCTTTACCTGTCCCTTTACCTGGCCCTTTACTTGTCCCTTTACCTGTCCCTTTACCTGTCCCTTTACCTGGCCCTTTACCTGGCCCTTTACCTGTCCCTTTACCTGGCCCTTTACCTGGCCCTTTACCTGTCCCTTTACCTGGCCCTTTACTTGTCCCTTTACCTGGCCCTTTACCTGTCCCTTTACCTGTCCCTTTACCTGGCCCTTTACCTGTCCCTTTACCTGTCCCTTTACCTGGCTCTTTACCTGTCCCTTTACCTGTCCCTTTACCTGGCCCTTTACCTGGCCCTTTACCTGTCCCTTTACCTGGCTCTTTACCTGGCCCTTTACCTGTCCCTTTACTTGTCCCTTTACTTGTCTCTTTACCTGGCCCTTTACCTGTCCCTTTACCTGGCCCTTTACCTGGCCCTTTACTTGTCCCTTTACCTGGCCCTTTACCTGGCCCTTTACCTGTCCCTTTACCTGTCCCTCCCTAACAGAGTGGAAGGTATTGTGGGACTATTGGCTCAGGAGGCATACCAATTAGTGAGCCATACACAAAGCCTTGTCCTATACACTAGATTATATCACAGCTAAAAACCTAATTTCTGTTGTCTGATTGCTCCCTATAAACTTGTTAGGAAGAGATTTGAGGTGTGTATTTGTAGTAATGCTCACATCGGCCCTGATGGCCTGATATTGATCAGACAAAAATTATACAAACAAATGAAATAAGACCCAACAGAGCTGTTGTACATCTACGAGTGGTCTTTAGGACCATCTGTAAGCGGTACAAGCATCACACCTCACTGATGCTGCCTCACAGCATTCACCACATGCAGAATGTTACATGCAGGCTGATTCACTACACAGCACACGTGTTACTTGGAGAGAGAGGGAGATATAGAAGTTATGTATGATGGACATTTATTGGACAGAAAATACTGCAGCTGCCTCTGTTTCTCTGTCTCACACAATCTGAGTTGTTACAGGGGGGTGGGGGGGGGGGGGTGTCCACATGTATCATTGAAATGTGGCCCTTAAATTGGCATGGGGCCAGGAATGGAGGAGAGGGACATATCTGACTGGCTGGAGAGGCAGACGGTACTCACTGACTTCAGTCCCGGGGAGGATCCTGATAAACTGTACAGTAGGAAAAGGCAATGTCTACAAGACAAGATGTACATCATTGCCAGGAGTAAAAGAGTCACTCATCTTATGTTTGATAAGAGCACACACCATGGTTTAAAATGTTCCATCTGTCGACATGGCTGAGCTGTCCGAGGTGCCTCCTCTTTATGGTCTGCGCACAAATATGACGTAGGACTGGTGAGGGGGGACACCTCTGGTGGTTCACCCACAATTAGATTTCTGTCCATGCATGAAGCAATAGCCACTCAAACAAGAGGCTATTGATGGTATTACACTCGTTCTTCAGTCTTTATTGAAGGCTGGTGTAATAACATGTGATGATTCACCGGTGCACACACCAATCTTTCGGTGAAGAAAATGCGAGACATGAGGGTAACCGACTGAGTGACGATTTGTTCAAAATTTACAAGCAGTTAATGCTTCGGTGCACCCGCGAGCACCTACAATTTTTAATCCACACATCATTATGTCACTCATCCCTCCAGACACGACCCATTTTTCCGTTGGCCAATGCATTCTTTTTTTAGTACATGTGCACGATTTTGGTTTACTTCTCCTCTAAAGGAAGAGGCTAAATCTGGACCCAGTGTCCCCGGGTTATTATAAAGCCCTGGTGTATTTAGCAGAGCTGTGAGACACAATCTGGCTAATTTTACACTTATAAAATGGTTCGGCCTTGTTACAATATGCTGATGACATCATGATTTGCAGCCCCACAGGAGAAGCATGCAGATTAGAGTAATTTACAATTACAGTTATCCTTATATTTTTGGCTGCAAATGGTCACAAGGCTATCCGTCAGATTGCAATTTGCTCTCAATAAAGTTTCATATCTGGGACATGTGATCACAGCAGAGGTCAGAACCCTCTCTCCCAAAAGAATACAGGCAATTAAACTGTGCCTAAACTATAAACTAAGAAACAAATGATGAGCTTTTTAGGAATGATGTCATAGTATAGACAATGGATCCCAAACTATTCAGAAAGAGAGGTGCTAAAAACTAATTCATTTCTTACCACTTGAATTCAATTTGTCATTTTTTTCTCCGCCAGGAGAATCATGCGATTGGTC